TGCTCAGCTGTGGAAAGAATTTTGTCAAATCCTTGCTGGGCCTGTGCTCAGCTTGCTGTCTTTAGCAGTGTTGATTTTCATTCTCCTCTAAGTAAATATCTTTGCACATATTTCAGGAGATTTGGAGTGAGTGTTGTAGCCTTCCATAGCTGGTCTCAACTCCTAACACCATGCTCTCTAGATGTGAACTATAGGTGTGGTAGATAGCATGGGAGCCTTGGGGCACCACCTAGGGTAATGGGCCTTCTCCCCAGGATCCACGAAGACCTGGCCTGAAATCCAGCCCCCTTCTCATGAAGTCTCAGTCCTGTCACCTTATGTTGGTCATAACCTGCCTGTGGTGCTGGTCTAATGCGAGGCCAGGAGGCAGAGATGGCTAAGTGAGCTAGTGCCGCGGTGGGGACCAGAATGGGCACAGGAGGACCATTCAGGGAGGCTCTCTCAAGACTCTGACATTCTCTAGCTAGTGACCTGTTTTGGATCCACCACTTGTGAAGCTGCTGCCTCTCAGCAGGGACTGGCCTGTCTGCTGCTCTCAGAAGGTGCATGCTGTGCTTGATAAGAGCATAAGGGAGCGAGAGGAGTACAGCGACTTCTCTCCTTGGGGAAGGCACTGCTGGAGGCTGGAGCTTTCCCTGTAGCCAAGACCCCTGTCAGAGCCACCTTGAAATGTGGGGGGGGGACCCCAAGCATGTATTCAGCTTCATCTTATAGCATCCATCCTCATTAAGGGCTGTGCCTAATGGGACTCTTCTGCAGGGACAGACACTCCCATCAAAACTGCAGTGTGCACCCTTGCTTACTCAGTCCATAACTCTGCCCACAGTTGACAATGGTGTCCAGACAAAGATGTCAAGTGGCCCCCAGAGGTGCCTGGCAGGTTATGTACTAGACTCACATCCAGACCCAACCCTTCTAATCTGCAAGTTGTCCAGACCCAACCCTTCTAATCTGGCTGCCACCCCAGGAGCCCAGTCAGAGCTCCCCAGTTTTTTGGACCTTTAAGAACTGACTGTGTGCCTGTGATACCACCCCAGGTACCCTGGATGACACACAGGCTCTGAAGGACCAGCTCACTGACATACTGGTCTTTTGTCCTTTGCCCTCCTGTCCAGAAGCCCTTAGAATCAAGGGCTTGTTTCTAGGTCAACCTGGCCTTCACCACCCAGCGTTTTTGGGATCTTTGTATTCTCTTGTGGCCTGTGGCCTCCTTGCAGCTCTCTCTGGTCACCAGTCACCTTCCTGCACGTATTTGTTATTTCAACCAGCATACTTTTTCAAGGCTCGTGTTCTCCTTGGACACTGTGTGAACATCTTGTGATGAAGGCTGAACTAGACCTATGTGAATATGCATTGGGGTGGAGGGAGAACACCAATGACGGCAGGCTAGTGAGTGGCCAGCAGGTGTGAAGACAAGAACACAGGGTTGCTGGGCTTGAAAGGGAAGCTAAGGATCTGATTTTGTTTGTTTAAAGAAATCACCCACTTTAGTCTTTTCAAACACTGCTCGGCCCATGTAAAACATGCCTGTGGGTCCAACCTTGTCCATGGACTGCTGCCAGTACTTGTGATAAAAATGGTGGGGACTGACTTCTTCATGAGGTCTGCACCCCTGTCCACACTGCCCCCTTCATCTTCTGGCTGACATATAGCCTTGGCATCTTACATTGCAAGAGCAGCCAGGCATGCTGGTGCACACTGGGATACAAATGTGAACCTGTGTCAAGACAAAGTCAGACAGCAAGGAAAGCTCCAGAAGCAGCTCTTGAAACGCGGACCTCAGCAGTACAGACGTGCTGTCCTCTTTGTTGACGGTAGTCATGGTGTTTGCTTAAATAGGAGCATATCCTAATTTTCTAGAATTATTTGTTAAATTAAGTATTTAAGAGTGAAGTATCAAGTGGCTATAATTGTTTATTACTTATTTTATTTTATTGTCCTGTTTTTGACATAGAGTCTCATGCAACACGGGCATTCCTCAAACTTGCTGCATAACCAAGGCTAGCCTTGAACTCCTGATCCTTCTGCTTCTACATCCCAGGTGCTGGGATAACAGGAGTGCACCCCCGCAGCCAGCTGCAGCTGTGTTAACATGGGCTTTCCTAGTGTGCCTGAGGCCCTGGCTTCAGTCCTATAGCGTCACAGCTCATCTAGTAAAAAGGCCGAAATGACGAAACAACTGTGGGAAATGGTTCAGTTTCATTAGATGAGGCGCTATTGGGAACTTGCCATTGTTCATAATAAAGTAAACCCACCACTGTTTACAGAGAGGATGACATGACCTTCCCACGTTGCTGGGAAGTCTCTCCTTTGCCTTTGTCCACATGGAGTATGGAGTTTCAGGCTGAGGACCAAAGCAAAAGCTGTTGGGAGCAGTTCAGGGCTCAAGGTCAAAAGCCAGGCAGCCTACCTTGGTGCTGGGGTACTGGGCATCCCTCTGTGCCAAGCAGCCTGCCTTCATACTGAGGTGCTGGGCATCCCTCTGTGCCAGGCAGCCTGCCTTGGTACTGGAATGATAGGCATCCCTCTGTGCCAGGCAGCCTGCCTTGGTACTGAGGTGATAGGCATCCCTCTGTGTATATTCCATGGCTTCTGCTTAAGCCAAGGAGGAAGTGGGATTTCTGCGAACTGAATACAGGTGACTGTCAGGGAGAGAAGGTCAGGAGGGTTTGCTTCTGTAGGTTGGAGGTTGTGTTGAGTTGAGGGTCTGAAATTGCACCTTAAAGACCCTTGTCTCTGCTAAGCTGCCATTTAGTTTAGGACCTGGGGCTGGTTCTTTCCATCGTTCTCGTCACCAGCGTTGGTTGTGTCCTAAGGATGCAGCTCATGGGGAGCATGGGACACAAGGAAGACTCGAGCTCTTGCTCCCTGGGGAGGTAGTGCATTCTGGAAAGTGTTTATCATGCAAGCTTGAGGTCTGAGTTCCATTAAAACACCAAGTAAAAGGAAAAATACCTTAGCCTTAAAACAACAACAGACAAACAAAAAACACCGGGCATGATGACGCATGCTTGTAATCCCATCACTGTGGAGGCAGAGAGAGAGAGACAGGAGGATCCCTGACGTGCACTGGCCAGCTAGCCAGCCTACTCAGAGAGCTCTAGGTAAGAAATTCTGTCTCAAAAATAAGGTGGACAGTACCTCTGGAGGGATGACACCCAAGGTTTCTCCCCCCACCCCCAACAATGGTTGCTGCTCAGTTTGATTTTCTGTAATCAAAACAGAGCGGGTTCCTCAGTACTGGCTCTCAATATGAATGGTACTAGGAAAGAATCGGGGGTTCCTCCAGGTGAGACGCTATCTGCCAAGTCACGACTGCCTGCAGGACCTGGGTGAAAGGAGACATTTATTGTTCAGGTGAAAAGGGCAGGCCAGACTGCTGGCAGGAGTTGTCCTCTGGCTTCCACATGGGACACTTGCCATCTCTGACCTGTGGCTGTACTGCCCATTATCCCTGTCCAAGTCCAGAGCCCTCCACAGCACCCCCTGCCCCCAGGGTTGACAGCATCTTTCCCATCTTCTTGCTATAGAGTCTTTCAAGGTTTCTCGTGCAAATTAAAACCTAGGCCCGAGTAAGCCCATTCCCATCAACCCCGTCAGGAATGAACATCTAATCATTTGATGTGTTAAGTGTGGAGACCAAGGAGCAGAATCCAGCATCCAGACCCACTGAACATAGTCCAAGTGACTCTGGCTTGGACTGGAAGATCCTTTGCTGCCTTGATCCCACCAGGCTGAGGAGGCAGTGCTGGTTGTGATCACCCAACCCACGGGACTGGAGTTGCGCTGGGGCAACTTGTGGCATGGCTTTGGACAAGAAAACCTTGCTGCCTTCATAGGGCCAGGGAAGTCCTGCTAGCAGAGTCTCCCTGGTTCTTCCTCCCACACAGTTCCTGAAGAAGACTTGCCAGAGAACACACAAGGCTCCATAAAACTCTAGTTTCAGAAAACCTGCAGTACTATCTACGCATGTCCACTCCTGCAGGGCCTGCTCTTCTATGTGGGTGGACTTTTGAAAATGTCACTCTTCTGGTACCAGGCATCTGTGTCCACTCGTGCTCACTCACCCCAGCCTTAGTACCGTCTAATACACGGTCTCATTGGACAGAGTGCGTCTAAGCCCCTGGTGAGATGGCCCTTCCTGTGGTCCAATGGCGAGGGTGTGCTCTGCTCTAGGCAGCAGCTTCCTCTGTTGCTGTGTGATCCAGCAGACTGTGAGACTGAGAGTCCCTGCTCCCCCACAGCCTTCTCCTCTCTGCACTGAGCCCAGAAAGAGGGAGCCTTCACTGGCACCCATACTGCCCACATTCTTTGTCATGATCCAGAGCCCACCTGGGCAGAGGCATGCAGGTGCAGGGCACTGTCTGGGCAGTGGTCCTGCCTGTCAAGACCAGACAGACACAGGATGGAGTAAGGCTGGGTGAGAGTGTGTACCATCTGACTCAGATACTGTGTCTGCCTTCTGGGCAGCTTCACACACAGCTTCAGCTTCATACACAGCTTCAACCACATTTAGAAGGGATGGTAAATTTTTTTTGTTCATAGAACCTTTTGTAATCAGTGACAGATTCATATTTTGAAAAACTGTTAACACAAATTAAGCATGTCCTCCAAAGGATAGCAGTGTGATTAATAACTGTGTATACCATGTGGCTACCAGATTCACTTATGTCACCTCCAGTGGCCTGTGAACTCCAGTTCGTTCATTCACCCACTCATTTGTGGGAGCACACTGTACGCAGGTATTGGACCTGCCTTTCCTATGCTTGATAAAAATACCATCCCAGACATCTTTTCCATAGCACATGTAAAGTCTTGGAGACCAGTTGTGCACAGCAGTGATTGAAACCGATGCCATGCACACACTAGGCAAGTGCTCCACCACGGAGCTGTACTCCAGATCCTCTGACAGTTGTTGCCTGATGGGTGCATGTCGAACAAGATCCGCTCTGAGTTGATGGCACAAGCATACTGAGTGCACATTCTACCTGCCTTCCTAGGACGCCAAGTTCGTGGAGGAGCGACGAAAGCAGCTCCAGAGTTACCTACGCAGCGTCATGAACAAGGTCATCCAGATGGTGCCTGAGTTTGCTGCCAACCCCAAGAAAGAGACCCTGGTGCAGCTGGTGCCCTTCTTTGTGTGAGTACCTGTCGTGGGGGAATGCTCCTGGACACCACAGCAAGCTCTGCTTTCTTTGCTTCTTTGGAAGTTAGGAGCCAGTTGCTCTGTGCAGTGTCTGAGGCAGGTGGTACCTAGAAGCTGTCAGTGGTGCTGAAATGCAAATTCCACCCTGTACTTTGGGAGACCTATGTGAGTGAGCATCCTTGATGGTCCTCTGTCCAGGACTGTGCTTAAAATTTTTATTATCTTTTTAAAGTGTGTGTGTGTGTGTGTGTGTGTGTGTGTGTGTGTGTGTGTGTCAGAGAACAACTTGCAGTTGCCTTTTCTCCTTCCACCATGTGGGTCCCAGCGGTCCAACTCAGGTCATCAGGTGTGGCAGTAAGTGCCTTTAGCCAGTAAACTGCTCCCAGAATCAGCATTGGTTGATCTTGGTCAGAGGAAAGATGCATTTTTCCCAGTTCTGAGGTGTTCCCAAACAAACATTCAGTGTGAGTATTTCTTATGCTTGGGTCATAGCTTCAAGGAAGAACTCTTGACTGACTCTTACCACCACAGACTTTGGTTATTTCCACATTAACTGTAAATCATCTTAAAATGAAGTCCATATCTATATAGTATATATATATATATATATATATATATATATATAT